TGCTGATTAACATTGCATGCTTTAAGTGCAAATTTTAAAATGGAAAAGAGATGAAACCATGGGTGAAACTCAGCTTCTTACAAGGGAAGCAGACATGCCCCTGATGGCACTAACCAGAGAGAGCCTAAGACTTGAGCAGGTTGGCTCCGGCAAGATGAAGATGAAAAGGAAGGCGTTTTCAGACGCTTTCCACTTACAAGTGTTTCTTAATCTATTCTCTCTAAAGCAGATTCAGTGAAAGCCTAAGATCAAAAACATTCTGATTCAGGTAAAAATGCCCCTTGCTCATTTTTATTTGGAGTTTTTAAAGTGACATTTGGGGAAATTCAGCCATCTACAAAAGACAGAAAATATGTTGAGACCCCCCGAGGCCACGAAAGCACGTTCTACCCTGAAGCCCCCAGCAAGCAACTCAGAGCTGGCAGTGGGGGCGTCAGAGAGCAGAGCCCGTTGGGGGCGGCACCCACAGCAGGTGCCTCCGTCGCTTCTGGGAAGCGTGGCCTGCTTCAGCTCCTAATGATGCTGGTTCCCAAGACCATTTTCCTGTAAACTTGCACCACAGAATTCCCGTTAAAATTACATCTGTAGACAACTAACTTCTGGTTTATTCATGAGCGAGTTCACGAGACTGGGGGTCGAGCAGCTGGCAGAGGAGAGGAGAGAGAAGGGTCCCCACCCAGCTCTCCTGCCCACTTTCGACAAGAGAAAAGTGATGAAAAGCAGATTGTACACCGGTCCTCCAGGGCCAAAATGGTAGAAGGTTCGGTTCGCAAGATGCCTGAGTAATGTGCGATCTGGCTAGCCATCCAGAGGGCTAAAGTGCCACCAGCAGCCCACCTCACAGTCACCCCTCAGCTCTGCCGGCTAGACTGGTCCCTCTGCCTCTGTCCTTGGGGCCAGTGCTGACCACGGTGTCACTGTTCCTGCCCCACCCCACCTCCAACCCTGGCTTGCTCTTTTCCAAAGCGGACACACCTCTGCGCTAAGTCCATTCAGAGAGCTGAGCCTCCCCCAGCCTGCCCACCACCTCCGAGCAGCACTAGAGGCTCAGCCAGTCCCTGTCACTCTGCCTGCCTGCAAGCACTTGTCCTGCTGTCTCCTGCTGTGCTGGACTAGGCAGACCAGCACTCCGAGCAGTCCAGCCACCCTCCCACAGGAGGCAGCAGGTCAGCTGCGCACCAACTCTGTCCCTCCTGCCAGCAAGCACAGATTTCCTCCGTCCCCGCTCCACGCACTCAGTGTCACCCATGCCTTCATCCACACATTTGGTGACTCCAGGCCAGGGGAGGACTGGCAGGCGGGTGTGGGGGGTCACCCCCCATACAGCCACAGTCATGGCACAGGCCTGGCTCTCACCATGTTCGGGCTAACTGTTGACCCAGCACTTAGAGCTGCCCACCTTCCCAGACATCTGAGCATGAATGGGTTTCCAAGGAGAAGCTGCTATAACTTCAGGGTGGAGCAGCATGGTAGCCTCGAAGGCTTGGGGGGGTCACTCAGAGGGGGCACTTCCCACCCCCTCAGTCAGCAGGACATTTAAGACAAGGGGGGGGGCCCCCCCCCATCCAGCCACAGTCATGGCACAGGCCTGGCTCTCACCATGTTCGGGCTAACTGTTGACCCAGCACTTAGAGCTGCCCACCTTCCCAGACATCTGAGCATGAATGGGTTTCCAAGGAGAAGCTGCTATAACTTCAGGGTGGAGCAGCATGGTAGCCTCGAAGGCTTGGGGGGGTCACTCAGAGGGGGCACTTCCCACCCCCTCAGTCAGCAGGACATTTAAGACAATGGGTAAGCCCTGCTCTTACCAACCTCAAAGAGGGACCAGAGCATCAGTTCCAGACATCTGAGGCTACCTCCAGACCTGCAGGCAATACCCGAGGGTCACTCGCACCTCTGAGTATCGCTTTAGAAAGAAGCAGCCCCACACTCCATGGTCTTCCAGTGCACCACTGGGTCCAGAGTCCAGGATGGAAAAGCCTCTATGTCCAACTCCCCATGGCTCTTGCCCAACACATTCCCCTGTGAGGTTCCCAGGATCCACGGCCATAAGGGGAGGCCACCTCCACAGGGCAGGAGCACTCACAGATAGGCCTCCATCTCTAAGCCCTCTAAGCCCTCTAAGCACAGGGGACAGCTATCCAGGGGCTAGGACAGGGTCCTGCCTCTCCTGGGCAGCCCCAGCTGGGCGCCACAAGACCCCATCCCTGCTCTCCCATGCTTTTGTTACCACTAGCTAACGAGCCCATATGGAAGGGGGTAACAACAGCCAAGAACCAACGGGGTGAGGTGCCTGGGACTGAGGGGAGCCTCCGTCAGCCAGCTCAGGGAGGACCCAGCATCCCGCTCCAGGGCCACAGTGAGGGTGGGGCTCTGCTGTCACAGCTGAGAAGAAGGAGCCAGAGTGCACCCCCAGGACCCACAGCACTCCTGCCCTCACCCCAGGCTTGCCCAGCAGCTCTCTGGTCTTTTGCCCAGTCACCACCAGCCCAAACACATCTCCAAGTTTCTGTACGATTTTTATTAAAAACCACCAGGGCAAAATCCCTCACTCCCCTCTCCCAAAAGGACAGTTATAATTATCGCTGTCATTACCGTCTTGACAGTGACACAGTCCGATGCCCCAAGACCCAGCCCACATGCAGCTGCCAACCCACCTCTCAGATGTTTTGTTTCAGAAATTAAACACCCAACTTTACCAGCCAATGGTATCCACTGATTCAAGGGTGATGCTGAGACAAGAAAAGCCCTTGGTGACTCAGAAAGAGCAGTAAGAGCCTACAACGCTGAGACCAGAGCGAGGCTATGTTCCTGGTTTATGAAGAAGAGAGTGAATTCCATGGGCAGAACCAGAGACAATGCCCCCGAATACAGTGGCCTCTGACCGGCAGCACTCAGTTGCTCAGAGCTCACCCGGCTTCTTAGCTAACCCTGATTTTTAGTTTTAAAAATGCAAATCCAGTTTCACTAGCACCATAAACAACCATATTTCTCAGCCTTGTGGCCCGTAAGAACAGGAGCTGAGCAGACCCCCCCACACACTCAGTTCTACACTTCTGTCCCACAGACGCACGCAACCTAGATACTGTTGTGTTGAGTTTAGAAATATGTGACATGCAAAGACAGTGCTCCGCGGACATCTCTGCTCAGTACCTTGGATGGAGGTCGCATACGAGATACCCCAGACTGAGATTCCCTGCTTCAGAGAGATCTTCCACATAAGGGACTAGCATTCTCCCCAGACTCGGAGTGGCTGGGTCCCACAGCTGCAGACATGTCGATCATTCCTCTCCCAGAAATTCACGTAAAGTTTCTCATCTTGATGCCCTCCCCTCCCCCCACATACAATGTCTTCTTCGTCAGAGGCGCGACATATCCATGAGGACCTCAGAGGCAGGAGGGACAGAGAAAGAGGAGGGGATGCCTGGCAGATGGAAGGAGGAAAAAGCCTTGGTCCTCCAGGGCAGTTTTAAAAAGCCTTCCCCAGACCCGCTTTTCCTGCAAAGAAAGCCTTCATCTTAGACATTAATTCACTCGTGCGCCCTCTCCCTTCTCTGTCCAAGGGGAAAAGCCAGGCGCTGGGCATCTGCCTTTGTCAGCGAAAGAGCATAACATTGACTTACCTTCCCCACGGCTATTGTCTGTCCTCTTTCAGAATGACATCACGGAAAGCAATCATGAAATTTACATGGGGGGTGAGGGTGGACGGGGAGGAGGGGAAGGCAGCTGCCTCCCGTACAGCGGTCACATGTGGGGAAGCCTGTGTGCGGTTTCAATTAAATATCTTCTCCCCTTAGTGTGCGAACTCCTAAGCCAGCTGAAGGCGACGTCTCATTTACTTAATGACGGCTCTCATTAGCCGCGGTGGCACGGGCTGGCGGAGGAGGCTCCTTTGTAAATACGCTACCCATGAACCCTTGGGGCTCCAATATATCTGTTTACTCTCCGAGGTGAAATAAATTTACAGTATAGCATCAGAAAGATGGATCTGCTGAACTGCAGGTGAGAGGTGCCCCGGGCTGGCAGAGCCCCCGTTCCCTGCTCCCAGCCTCAGCCACCAGAAGGGACCGACATTTGCCCACACCGATTTACAATCGATACACAGTGTGATAGGATTTTTACAATGAAAACCCACAAAGGGGCAGAGAGCATTCCCATCTCCTCCCTTATCCCCCTCTGCTTTCTCTGTCAGTGGTTCAGTCCAATAATTCCTAATAGCAGCAACTGGAATGACAGATGCCCTGGGTTAGCCTAGCTACAGCGAAAGTGCTTCGCGATATTTATTGGTGGTTAGGAATATGACCTACCACCATAAAGAACAGGCTGCAGGATTTATTACTCAAACGAAACAGGAGTATCACATATTGGCCCATCTGCATATTCAAGTGCCAGATTTAAGTGGACATGTTTCCTAAGTGAGCAGAAGTACCTTATGACACAGACCCACAAAGAGTAAAGTTATACAGATAAAGACTAGATAAAGAAGACACATTTTTCTGTTGTCACACTTTCTCTTTTTGTTTTAATTTTTTAAATAATAAAACCCTCCCAAAAAGAACTTGGGAATCCCTGAGGTACAGCTGTCTTATCCCTAAAAACCTTGAGTTTAACCCAACGAGGGCAAAACACACTGCTCAAGTTTCTTTCTTTCCTTTCCCAAGTTGTTTAAACTGTCTGAAGTGAGCTATCCAATGGTAGACGAGAAGAGAACGGTTGGGCACTCCTGGACGAGCTGCACTCTCCAAGCACCCTGCCAGCCTGCTTCTCACCTGCTAGTCTGTGGCTTTTTCCTATATTCAGCAATAAATATAGGAATCTCCTCAAATGCAACCAGGACCAGGGTATTCTTGTTTGCTATCCAAATCTCCTTCTTGTACTGATGAATCAGAAAAACAATTATCCTTCATCATAAGCGGACATTACAGAGTTACAATCTGTACTGTAAAGTACAAGGGAAAAAAGGCTCAGACACTTGCAAAAATGCTACTGTTGCAGGCCAGGTACTAGAAATTACTGCCCATATCGCAGAAGTGCAGAGCAGAGATGGCAGTGGGCAGGAAACACCATGTCTCGGGAGCTATGCAGAAATACAATGCCCCCAGCTTAATGGACCCTACAGAGATCAGGCTATCAAGTGGAAATGAGACAGAACTAAAACATTCAGCTTTCTCTAGGAGAGCTTGTTTTGAATGTCTTGGTTGATTTTTTTAAATAACTGCTTGTGGAAGAGGAGTTTTAGTTAACTCCTCTACAAGCGTTTTTAATTTGCAGTTCAAGCTCCACACATCACACAGAAACCAATGAGTCTTATCCCCACAGAAAGTAATTAGATTCTTATACAAACACACAGCATTCTCAACAAGTAAAACACAAGATGCACACAGGGTAACATCTAGGTTGTGCAAAAGGAAATAAATGCATGCCTGGCTGGTCAGGTTGGGGACAGGATACCAACTGGCCGGATGAGAACAGCTTGAGGCTCCTGCGATGGCTGCCTGACACTTTCTAATTCTTTCACGAACTCTTGTCCCTCAGCACAAAGGGTATGTCAGCAGAGAGCACTCCTAAGAGGCCATTTCTACCTTCTCTGGACATGCGGCGAGTGCTGGGATATTTTACATCCTAAAGCTTGGGCATTCAGAAATTCTATTAAACTCTTATCGGCAGGCTGCAGGCTCTGGGCAGCCCTGTGCGCCATTGTTCCCCGCAAAGACAGAGTCGAAGGGAGGCTGGTGCCGAACCAGCCTGATTTCCCAACACCTAATGTTTCATGAAAGCTATTTAATTTACATATGCAGTCGCCGAACTTAACAACAAAACAGGGAGAAACCAAATACACTCAGCAGAAGGGCCTCATGGGCATAATTGTTTTTTTAGGTACTAGAAATTACACTAACACAAATGTAAGTCTGTCAGATTCCACATCTCCCCTCTAGTATTGCCAGTTTTCTGGGTATGAAGTGATGGTGGTTGGACAGGGGCCTCCAGACCTCTCTAGGGTGGGGCTGGTCAGGCAGACAGGCACCCAGAAAGTGCTTGGAACCTCACATTCCCGGTGGGCAGACCCCTCAGGGCCCTAGGAGCTCGTGCTGGGAGGGTAAAGCTGCTGAGCGGTTTCAGACGATGTATTTTGATGACAGAGTCAAAATCTCAGTTTACAGTCAAGCACCCAAAGGAGGCGGCACGGAAAAGAGCAGGGTGGGGAGGGGGTGCCCGCCCGTCTCTCAGGCTGGGCCGCTTCCCCCGCGCGCGTCCGATCAGCACTTCGGACAGCGCTCGGGCCGCCAGGGCTTTTGTCCCCCGCCGTGCTGGAGGGGCGGCTCCACAACCCAACGGATCCCTGCGTGGGGGCGGCGGGAGCAAGTTGTAATCTAAAGCATTTGTTCTTGCACAGGGTGAGATCTCTCTCTCTCTCTTTTTTTAATCATGAAATACTTTTCTGTGACTAAGCACGGAGCTCAGTGTTCCTTTAAGTTTTGTTTTATGAAAAGCTGTGGGGAAGTTGTCCGTGACTGCTCGATTCCAAGTTTGGGAAGATTCGCAGAGAAATTACCCCTGTCTGGCTGGTGGGCCCTCAGATTTCACCCAGGAAAGAGGGAGGTTCACAAACTCAGAGTGGCTGCAGCCTTTGTGTGTGTGGGGGCAGGGGGGTGGGGGGGCTTAATGCCCGCTTAGCTGCTAAGATCAGTTCAAATAAAGTGTAATTACGTGTGCAAATCTGCACACGGATATCCCAAGTGTCAATTCATTTGCTTCATAAAAACTCTTTCAAGTAATTTTGGTCTAAACTTTCTGCATCTGTAATTGGCACCACCTTCTTCGGTGACCAGCTGGGGGTGAGGGTTTCCTTGTTCCCTTCTGAAAGCTCCTGCAGATGGGCGCCTGCCTTTAATGCTGCAGACGACAATTAGGGTCCTTGTGCTGGAGCGAGATGGTCAGCATTAATATTGTATACGACAGCTGAGGGCTGGGGGGGCACTGCCCCAGGCAGGCCCTGGCAGATGGAGCAAACAAAACCGGGGCAGCCCTCGCCCACACTCAGGCTGACTCTGCCGGTCTCACACTCACAGATATGAACGCCTGGCTCCAGCTTGTGAGCCTCGCATACATGCACACGCGTGCCCGTGAGCATGAGTGTGACAAGGGTGTATGCTGAAGCCCCTTTGCCACAGCACAGCCCCAGGGGAACGTCTGTCACCCACCTTCTCGGGGGCCTCCTGACACCACCTGTCTCACAGACCTGCAGGGCGGCTTCGCAGGGCTTGTCAGGCCACAGGACCTCCTGGAAGAGGAGGTGGCAGGCCGCTTCTGAGGGGCCCTGGCCTTTGTTCAGAGGGGAGAGTGTGTCTGTCACTCCTCAGCTGTCCAGAAAAGAGCACAGGCAGGGACAGCGGACACGCGGCGGGTCACCCTCCACATCTGGGCAGAAACTCGTGGACCATCTTGGGGAGGGGTGCAACGGGCTGGGGGTGTACGTACCCAGGAAGGCCCTGCAGAGCGTCATCCTGGCCAGACAGAGTCCTCCTCTCTGGGGCCTGGGCACTGGGTACACATCACTTCACGCTGGAAAAAGTTGTCGCACAAACTTCTGTGTCCCAGGGCCCTGGGGAGCCGCAGCCAATCAAGAGCAGGGAGCAGAGAATCACAAAGGGACAGGCCAGTCTGCCAATGAGGCCCCCTTCCCACACAATGGCTTTGGCCCGGACAATGGGGACCCGCCTATAGAACAGGGAGGGGCGCGG